CAGTCGCTTCATGCCACAGAAAAGTGGATAACCTTCGCGCCTTTCTTCTTTGCTTGTTTACAGCCATCTTGTTTGGTTGTTTTCATGGCTCCGTAAAGGTTTATTACCAGTTTTTAATAATGCTTAGTTTTCTTTGTACATTGCTAGTCCGCTCCGTTCGACAAAAGAGAAGAAGCAGATAAGAAACGACAAGAGATGGCCATTGGTAACAGCGATCACATGACTCTGCTGAAAAGTTACAGGGTATTTTGAAAGATTTTTCCACCTGCAAGTGGTCTTAGTGTAATGATATGCTCTTATTGACCGAGTGGTAGGTCGGGCGTTAAAACCTAAGTCATGATTGAGAGTCAAATGTTATTCCTCGCCCGGTCTGATCTGATTCAGTCAACAACCATTTCATCACATGACCGCAGCTCTTTCTCTTTCTTCCTTTACTCTCTCTCTCTCTTTTGGCCTCGCTCCTGTCTTGCGTGGGGTCCCCTACGCAAGGCAGTGCGAATTTTTTTGCAGTTTTTTTAAATCAAAGTACGCGCAGGGCCACTCGGGTCTCGTGACGAATGCAAGTGATTGAACTTGCTTTGAATATGCGCGTACTACGAGCTCGAATTGAAATCGCGAACCAGTATTGCAAAACTCGAAGTTCAACAATCACCTAAAAATTCATTGCATTCATTTAGAAATAGCACAATTTAACTGCCTAAATAGAGGCTTTTGGTCAGCACCCGGTTCGAAGAAAGGGAAGCAGAAGAAGAGGTGCGAAATATGAAATCTGCTTGGTTGTTTTGACTGTTCTGTTCGTGGAACGTTCTCCTCAGACCAAAATGAATTAACAAAGATTTTTATTGCCAGGGTTGGCTGGAGACTATGGCAAGTGGAATTTCTGCTGGGCATCACTACTGCCGTACAAACTTTTTGTCCATGAAGACACTTCAGGTGAGCTTAAACAATCCTCTAAGGCCTTTCAGGAAGTTGGAACATACCACAGAGAGTGAGAACTCTAAGTTAAAACAAGAAGAGATCTTAAAGTGCGTGAAAACGCCAATAACCAATCCTGATTGGTTTTAGTTTTACATCCACTCGGTTGAAAGGGTGGTGCAAGTTTTCTGAACCAATTATGGAGCAGAGGAAAGCAAAATCAATGCAATCCTTTTTTTTTTTTCCTACACTGATTTCAATTTTTTCGTATAGTATCCTTCTATAAGTAGCTCTAAAAGTTTGCTTTTTTTTATCCATGTAGATGATAGCAAGCCTCAAGTGTCAATACGCTGAACTATTGTCAGATATCGGGTTTATCAAAGCGGATCTCACGACTAGACAGATAGGGAGACTGGCGCCGAGAACTGGAGACGGAGTGTTAGCTGCAACAGGTGACGAGGTATGTCACTGGAGCGGGTTAGTTGTCTTAAAACTGGTACTAGCGAGGGATAGGGTCGGGATCCTGGTCCCCATGGTTTTTGGCATGGTGTTCTTTGGCAGTGTCTCCCCCTACTTAGGTTTGTCAGTAAGCTCGGGTTGTAGAGCTGGACTAATGCTCAGGGTCTTGAAACAGAAGAGAATTTGCTACCTTCGCTATGACATATGTAAATGGTCTCCGTCTCTTGCATCCTCTCCGTAGTAGGGGACGTTAAAGATACCACACACCTCTCGCAAAGAATAGAGAACGTGGCTCCCGGTGTTGTGGTCTGGCTTTGTTTTCAAAAATGTCCAAAATTGGGCGCACCAGCAAAATGTCCTCTCAAAATTGTAAACTTCTCACAGCAGTCTGATCAAAGTTCCTAGCTAAGTCTTGTAAAGCGCTTCAGAGCGTGGTAATAGGAATAATGCGCTGTATAATAATTTTACTTCATCAATGGTAAAGGCGAATCTAATAAAATCCCATGAAGAAAAGTCGCGGTACTCCTAATCGCTTCATGCTATCGACACTGGGTTAAGTTCTGGCGCCGTGGCCCAATTGGCTTGCTTTGCAAGATTTCTTCTTTACCTTACAACCTCCAAGAACAGGACCAGGTGTTCTTGCTAACTTCGCTCTCTTACTTACCTCGTTAGGTCAACGTGAACTCGAAGAATCAGAAATTAGTTTTGGGAGTTGTCTGCGCCGCTTTGTTCCCGAACATCGTTCAAGTTGTCAAACCAGACGTGAAATACAAGGCGTCTGTTGCAGGTGAGTAAATAGTCAAGGACGCTGGCTATTCTACCCATGCCTTCATGTGGGTTACACACGAGCCGCTTTAACGTGTCGTGTTTTAGTGGTCACCAACATGAAGAAATTTTTTCAAGCTCATCGACAGTCAAACGTCGTCTAATTACTAAAAACAGGTACAAACACGCTTCTGACAAACAGGATCGACAAAAAAAAATCCAGAAAAACGTTCCAAGGTAAGGGATAGCTCAAGCCTAAAGTAACCTTGCGGAAACGAATGATAAGTTTATTCAATGGACCGCGGTACATTTACGCCTTTGATTTGTAAGGGCCGGGTTACCACAAGAGAATTTTCAAAAACAGAATGCATTTTGGGTTGTTTGTTTCTCCAACAGGGGCTATCCCTGTGGATTCCAAAGCAGCTGAACTGAAGTTTTGGACGAAGAATGACGGCCAGGTGAGCGAGTAGAATAGATATCTTGTAGTATGATCGTCTTAGTGAGTGTTCCTGAAAAGAACTGGCTGCGTTTTGACAACCTACGCAGAAGGTCATTATCAGAGTGACCAGGACAGAATTTCTCCTTACAATATTAGTACAATATCAAGCAGAAAAGGGATGAGAATTAAGAAAAATATCAGTTTTGGATTAGTTTCTTCAAACTAACATTACAAGAATTGTATGGTATACAGAAAGGAGAATTGCTATCGAGATCTTGGGAGGGAAAGGGTTAATTATAAAGACTAGTAAGCGGCTAGGTGAGTTTTGTCGTAATGTTATCAGCTCGAAGACTTATGTAGCGAGAGGCAGTTTGCATTGGTCAGTTTCGATCCGTGGTTCGCTTCCCTCTATATAACGGTGTATCCTTAGAATCAGATTAAAAAGATGGTTAAAAGTAAACTCTAGCGAGAAAAACACACAACGTTTCGAAACTTTGTGTGTTTTTCTCGCTAGTGTTTATTCTTAAATGTCTAACAAAATCTAATGTCATTCGGTTAAGAGTAAATCGCTCTTTCTTCTACAGGTGTTTATTCATCCCAAATCGGTAAATTTTCAAGTGAACTCTTTCGACAGTCCATATCTCGTGTACCACGAAAAAGTCAAGACATCCAAGGTAAACATGTTCATTGGTAAATTTAGAGTTTCACGTTTTTGTTTCAACGTCTCTTGGTTTTGTTGCGTCTCTTATAGAAATCAGAGGCTTTGCTAGGGTTTTTCAAAGGGTGGGTTGTCGCAGTTACGAATTTTCGCGCGTCATACACCATCTGGTTTATACCGCTGGTCTATCTTGTGTATCAGCGGGCTTGTTTTCATGCGGCAGTAGGTGAGTATCTAGCTCAGGAAAAGATTCTTGCTGCACAAATTCTTCGAATAAGCGCGTTCCACCAACTTTAAGACAAGTTCTCCCAATCAGAGTTATTATCCATTCAGAGTGGAATCCTATCCTAGTAGAGCAGTAATTTTACTCGTCGTTCGAATGGCCCAGAGGTTCTAAGAAGTTAAATTTTTTCTTTAGTCAGTGGTGACAGCTGCATCTGAATTAAACCTGACTTACGTTTGACATGTGCGAGATTTTTTCAGGTTTACATCCGAGACTGCAGTATGGTGTCAGAATATTCCTTACTTCTCTTCTGTGGAGACAATTTGTCTGTCAATCTAGAAAGAGGTGTTTTCGTCATCTCTATTGACGATGGCTGGATCCGTTTTTCTGCATCTTCGCACGAGGTTGGTAGCCACTTAAAATAATGTGTTGCAAATTTGGACTCATGTTTGAGACATATTGCATTAACCGGTAACTAGCATCTAATTTCTCCTTACAATATCACCCCGGATTCAAACATTAAGGTCAGGAGAATAAAGGAAATGATCACCAATTGAAGAAGCTCTTGATTGTTAAACATATTCTCCTTGTCGGCACCTTAGGGAATTTATAGAGAACAGTGTGGAGAATATGCATTTTGATGTTAGGGTTTTAAAGGGCTAAGTGGTGATTTTCTTTCAAGGTAATCTGTTTATGTTTCTTTCTGCTTCCCTTTTTTGTTTTCCTCCAGGTTGCAACACTTGTGCAAGACTTGAGGAAAGAGCTTGACCGGATACTGGAAAACAAAATAGAGAATCCTTCTTTTGATCTGACGAGTTGCTAAAGGGCAAGCAGAATTATTGACGCCATCGTTCGTTTGATTTCAACTCAGTAATGAAAGGCACTAAATGAAATGAGGAATGTCGTACGAGGCCGCCAAATTTTTCGGTAACCTTCCCGTCACAACCTGGGTGAATAAACTCGAAATTCTGGGTTATTGAACAATTTTGACCGGTTTAACAGGTTACGTTTTACATGTAGGTTTCAAATCCCAATTTGATAACGATAAGTCCCTTCGTTTCGGCGAAGTGTGTCGCGCTTGTAAAAAACAAAATCAGCGAAAAAAAAAAAAAAATGACGTTAATGCGCCTCACGGAACTGTCGCACTCCCAGAGTTTCGCACCTAATTTCGGCTTATTTTCATATATGAAATAATGTACTTAGAATATCACTGGGGATATTTTAACTGAATTTATTATTTCTAATGACATGCTAAGCAAGCAGACTGAAAAATTTACTTGAAATTGATCAGTTTAACTCTAGAATTGCAACATACAATGAGATGTGAAATTAAAAGAATACGGCAATATCTTCAAAACGGTTACTTCACTCACTCCCACCGTCGACACAACAAAACTCGTGCAGCATAGCTAAAATGACGATTTTTTTTGTTACTCTTTTCAGCTTTTCATCAAGTTTTGAATGGTTCCTCTTGCTATTTTCCGTGAACTGTTATTTTTCAGTGTCGATACTCAGCTTATGATTAATATTATTTCTTTATTCACGAATAAACAAAAGCTGAGTCATACGGATTTTTCGGCAAACACCCACTCAAATATTTATACAGTGTCCTCTTACTTCCCTTAGTTCAAGTAGTAGCATTTTTAGTTCACTGTGAATCACTGAGCGGCGTCTGAAACGGTCTGAGCCAGGGTCTGGGGTGCACCGGACCGGAAGTCACATTGTAGGCCATGTAGAGTCTAATACTAATGTGGATGATAACATGAACCACACGTTTATTTGAATTTCATTGTGGATCTGTTGCGTTCTTTCTTGTACCAACGGCTTCTAATCAAAAAATGTAATTTTTGGACTTTTTGCAATTTTTTCAAAGAGCATAATATAAAAAAAAGGGGGCATAATTTGGAAAAAAGAGCATAATTTTAGCATAATTTCGCCAAAAAAAAAAGCAATGCTACGAGCATAATATGCTACTTTTACTAGCATAATCTATAAAGGCCTAGTTGGGGTGGGGTGGGGGTCATTTTCCGCTGAACAAAAGTAAAATTGTTACGTCATACTTCAATTGACGCCACGTATGCGGATGTCAGTAACTCATTTTAACATTTAAGAGTCATTAAAGTGATGAACTCATCTGGAGGTGGAAAGATGACCGAGAAATTTGGGGATGTGATTTGCTCAAGCCGTATTCTTACAAATGGAACATCTGACAACCTGATTTATCTAACAGCTGCATGCAATATTTTTCTTTCCATAACTGCGCTTCTGGGAAATACGGTGATTTTACTGGCTCTTCGAAAAGAAACTTCGCTTCATCCACCCACTAGGCTGATGCTTCGCAATTTGGCGACGACAGATCTTTTGGTTGGTCTTTTTTTAGTGCCCCTCGACGTTGCATATGTGCTGTCCGTTGTCCGTCGGGCTTGGAGTTTATGTCGGGTCGCAGAGACCGTAACTTTTATTGTGGGTTACACGCTGGGGCCTGTGTCCTTATGGACTGCGGCTGCAATAAGTTTTGACCGTCTCCTCGCTTTAAAACTAGCCATCCGTCACACGCAGGTTGTGACTATCAAGAGAACCTATGCTGTAATAATAACATTTTGGGTGATGTCCACTGTACTTTCGTCATTGTATGTTGCAGAGAGCCTTGTATCGTTCTGGTATAGCCATCTTACAGTTGCGTCATGTTTGACGATTTCAATTCCGTCTTACGCGATGATTTTTCGATGGCTTCGTCGGCAGCAAACTTTGGTAATACACAGTAACTCTCGGCAACAGCAACAAGATAAAATAACTACGTTGAGGATCGCTCGATACAGAAAGACAGTCAGCAATGTTCTTTGGGTGCAGCTGGCGTTAATTGTGTGTTATTCTCCATATGGTATGGCTTCCGTTCTGTTCTTTTCCAGTCCTTCTTCGTCACTTTTTCTCCCATGGCAAATGACAATGTGTGTTGTTTTCTTGAACTCAACGTTGAATCCATTCCTTTACTGCTGGAAGATCAGAGAAGTGAGACAAGCTGTAAAGAATACATTCAATCACTCATCATGCTGGTTTGGGTGTAGATAGAACGTTGCCGTGGATCATCACGCTGATGTTGGACGTCAATTTCAGCGGATAATCTAAATATTAATTTTTGAGGACGGAGACGTGCGAAACATTTGCTCAAGTTTGGAACAACAGTATTCGAGCCTAGCTACTGATCTGAACGGCAAAGAACTCTCAGGCATGTCAGTAGGCCATATGCTATCTATGGATTCGTCACTTGTAAAGCTGCAATGGTACTCATTGTGAAAAGAGTAGGAATTTTTTTTTCGAAACTAATTGATTTTATTTTACGAAGCGAACTACATTAAAACTTATCAATAATTTAAGACAATTTAAGACAAGTTTTTGAAGCGAACAGGAATTTACGTCATGTAAAATGACGGATAAATTTCCGCCAAAAAAAATTTAGTTTGTTATGCCATTTCCAGAGATCATTATCTGTAGTGAAATTAAAAAGAAATTTGATAAAAGCACTGAACAACTATTTAAATAATTCAATCTTTTTTCTTAGATAAATATGAATACCTGAGAAAATTTCCGCATATTTAAAGAAATATGTCAGTTATAACGACACCCATATTTATGATGATCACTTCAAACAAAGGTAAAGTTAATGAAAACTTCTCGTCGCTTCATTTAACAGTAATTGAAGAAGCGTCTCTTAGGAAAAAAGCGTGATATGTTCTCTCGTAGCTGCCCATATCAATATCCCTGTTAGAAATAATGACAATTTGCATTTGTGTTTCACAGGTGATTAAACGGAGCTGAAATAAGAATTTTCTTATTGACGTCAATTTTCGATCGTTTTCCAACGTTGTCGGGTTCAATCCGAACCACGATTTAAGAAAATTATGAAGCTTTTTGCTTTCATTTATCAGCATATTAGCGTTAAAAATAATAATAATTTGATTCTATAGAGAAAACCGAGACGTTAGAATGTTCTGCTTCATACAAGTAACCAGAAATATAATTAACGATATTTTATGAGATTTCCTTCGAACGCTTTGCAATGTTTTAATATTTGTTCTTAGAGTAGCTGCAAATGGGTGTAGGTATACTCCAGACCAGAAGTTGGCACTAATTTCTTGTCATAACCAACTTAGCTCTAAATGATAAAATATTCTGTAGGTGAGTAAAAGATAGCATAGCTTAAAGTAAACATTCTAGAAGGCTTTTAGCTATGAAAGCAGAACAGAAAGTAGTCATTACCGTATCACCTGCAGTCATTGAACATGACCGCGCGGAGATACGAAAATTCTCTTCAAGTGTTGAATTTTTTTCAACACGAGAAAAGAAATTTCATATCTCCAAGCAGCCGTGTAATCTTCTATTTATCATATAAACACCAATGAAAAACTAAACTACTTCACTTTCGCTGCGAAAGGCTCGATTAATCATGTAACCATAGTAACGGTGTTTTTTTCACGTGTGAAGTTAACATGCTATTTTCACATGTGAAGATTTCACGTTTTCGCGCGAAAGCTCGACTATTATTTCATTGTTGTTTATGTAACCTCACTCTTGGTCAATAACGCATATACATAAAGTCAGTTTAAAAATTTAACCTTATGGTCCACGACAGGTTAAATGGTTTCTAAAATGCGCGCCCAATAGCAATCATCGACGGCACGATTTTCACACAGATCCATAATTTATTATGCTTACAGTTCTTGGACAAAGAAAAATAAAAAAAATTATAAAATGCCTTTGGGACTACGGCTTTGTTTTACAATAGAAGGCGTTTTATCGAAATCCTTCCTCATCGACCCTTATACACCGAATGCAAATATGACGTCCAATTTGAATTGCCATTGTTCTGGACTCACTAACCTCGTCTTCACGTGGAAACACAAAAGGATTATTACATGTGTGAGAGGCTAGTGAGTTCAGAACAATGGCAACTCAAATTGGCTGCCATATTTGCATTCGGTGTATGACCTAACGTATCAGGAAAAACCTACGTCGTCAAAAAACATTTATCTTGTTTCTGTTTAAGGGAAGCAGATTTTAAACAAACGATAAAAATCTAGTGATAGCTAAATTCGTGCGCGGTACAGATTTACACGCAAATCACGTGCACATGCAAACGCAAAGAGAGAACACATGCGATGTAATCAAACGCAGATGCAAACATGTCAACCTCAGCTACCTCTAATGCAAAGCATTAGGGACAACGAGCGGTAAAAACGGGTTAAGTTTACTTATCTAAATCAAGATGGATGGCGTCTCGCATAGTTGTATTTGGCAAATATTTGCAGAGCGTCACGATGTGTCAGTATCCACAATAGGGACCTTAAGCAACCACGACGGCGACGGAAACCAGGACGTGGAAAAACAAGAGATCTAATTGGCAGAACAATAGTTCAGCACGTGCGTTTTGAAACTTTGTACATTTCTTAACCGTCCTATGCGAAACAACAACGTGAAATCGCCAAAATTTGCGTCGTCTGCGAACCGAAACCGCGACGGCAACTTATTTTAATTTCCATTTGGAACTCAACGCTACTTTTATACGTCATGCTGAAGTTGAGCTGTAGCGCCGTATGAGATAGTAAGCTAATGTAGCAATTTTTGAAATTCTAACTAAGAGTAGAAATTCATTTTTTAATCGAAGTCTTCCTTGGCGTTGCCGTCCTGACTGCTTAAGGTCCCTAATACCCAGAACTATGCGACGGACGTTGAGGTAACTCCTAAAACAAACTGAAAAGTCTCGCATGGACTGACAAAGCCCCGCAAGACATCGTGACAACGAAAAGGTATGTTTTACGGTGCCGAAAAGTCATCAAACTCATCCACTCATCGCAATGTCTCTCGGGCCATATCGGCTCAACAAACATGCTATAGACAGTTTATGTTCTCTTCATACCCGTTCATATTCTATCGCCTTGAGCAGGTAATGATGATACTGTTTTGGTATCTGCTTGAGACAAAAATTTTCGTCCGCCATGTTGACATGCCACTTTTGCCAATTCAAAAACAGGACATTCTTAGAACTGAAGTAATGCATGAAAGCTCACGCAAATTTACAATGCAGGGGTTTGAAAGGGTTATCTCAGTCTCTGAAGAATTTAAGGGTACAAGATTACTTACCCTCCTCTGGCTAGGCTGGGATAATAGTGTATGACAACTTAGCTCACTTTACCATGGATAACGAGTAACGTAGCCAATCAGATTGTTCGGTTTTCTCTCTTATCCATAAAATTCATAGCGAAGACGCCATGACACCCACAAGTTAAAGAGGTTTTAAATGTTGTCCATTCGCCCAAGGTATTTCGGAAGCTGAAAAATCGCTAGTACTTTCAGAGAGGGGCGATCACGTGAAACATATAATTTCCTATGTCGCGAAATAGAATATGCACTGCCTTATAAGAAATCTACGTCGTATTAACCATTTCCACAGCTTCCTCCATCTTACTTCAAAGAAATGCCTCAAAAGGGACTGATCAAATCTAAGGGAGCACCTTTCAACCTCGTTCCCATGGCCTTTTCCCTTGCTTAAGGCAAAAAGACATGAGAACGAGGTTGAGCACCTTCGTCGCAAGATTGATGTCCTCAAGGCCTGCACTGAAACCTAACCTTCCTGATATACCGCGGCGTGTTCTTGCTAAGTTTTCTTTTCCAGAGCTTTAATAGCATATTTGGCCGCTGCTTTTTTAGCGATCTTCTTGTTCGTTCCCTTTCCTTTGAACTCTACCGATCCCCACGACACCTTCAGAGTACCCTGGATCTTTCCATTATCAAGGGTCTAAGGTTTCCTAGGGAAAACAAAAACACGAACCTCAGAATAACCGAGCCTTCTTTGATAGATTATATAAATCTTCTTGAATTATCTTCACATCTGATACGGTTAATAAGAGACTTATACAGTGAGAGTCAACCAACAGTCTAAGATGTTAACTTCACACTCACCCAAAAACGGCTTTCTTGTCTTTCTCGAGGACAAGTCTGATGGGATTTCGCGGTATATTCTTCTAGTAATGATCTGAATCGAGAAAATTAATTCAATCTATTTTTCAAGTTTTGTTCTCTAGGTTTTGTATTCCATCGCGTCCCTTCGCCCTTTTGAGGCGATTTCTTATGTTGAATGCTCTCCTAACCCACTATACATCTTCTTAATGATTTAGTGGGAGAATTTGGTTTTATATCAGCCAACTGCCTCTCTCAGTTCGCGTTTAATCACAAGCACTCGTCGCTATTTCAGGTCTCATGACTATGATATGTTAGAGACACATCAATAACTATGAGGAATACTGTTCCAGCATGCTATCGGCACCAAAGAGGATTTCTCAACCCTTTCATCGTCCCTGATCCGATAAGAAATTCTCAAATCTAGCTACTATACATCTCCATGTGGATTTGGTGGGAGAATTTGGTTTCATATCAACAAGAAGATCAGACGCTCTAGCTGATAAGTTCACCATTTCTCATCACTTGTTTGCTGGATACTGTATTGATAATATATGGAGAAGTTCAATTTAGACTGAAAATTAAAGAAGCTACCATGCAACCGCGAGGGAGGCGATGGCTAACTTACCGATGCAGGGTTCCATCATGCGGTAGTACACACCCCAGATTTTAGTCAAATCCATACCGCTGTCCAAAAATATCGCCCCTGCAACGGATTCAAAGATGTCACCAAGAACTTTAGGTGCCTCGATTCCTTCTTCTTCTTCTTCTTCTTCTTCAGACACGATAATAAATGGGTCAGCGGGGACCTGACAAATAAATGACAAATCAATCAACTGGAAATAATGACTTGACGGAAAAAATAATCGTTAAAGAATGCACTTAAGGTCACCAGTCGAACGCCAGGAATACGCGAGGGGATCAATTCTGGCCGGCTGTACGCTAATTTCCCGCGCAAAAATTCTACCGCGGTCTCGCAAAAAAAAGCGAAAGAAAATTGAAACGTTGAAAGAAATCTGTAAAAGGACACAAATATGGCGAAAAGGAAGCTTAAGATTTTTCAAATACGACGCTTCTTCAAGTACGGGTATCCTGTTTATTTACAATTGATTTGAGCTTTAGCGGAAAAAATTCTACGTTTTTAAAACACCATGACTTAATGGTTTGTATGCCTGTTTGCAACTCGTGTGACAACCTGGTTCTGACAGCCGTAGAGCCATTACAACATCAGCACATGCGCAACGTTTTAACCGCCTCCCGGTTAGCTCAATTGAGCCCCGGCCGGACCAACACTCAAGGTCTTAAATAATCGAGAAGAATATGCTGCCTTTCCACAACATCAAGAAATGGTTAGATATTCTAGTCTTCTCGGATAGGGACGAATAAATGGAGGTGCCGTCTCCTGCAGGGTTAGGGGTAGGAGACGTTAATTTCCCACGCACGAGATTACTGTGTGATGGATGTCCTCCCCTGGGGAGGGATGGGTGGGTTGCTGTCTTGCGTTTTATGCATGAGCATCTGACTCGGGCAATCTGGGTAACCATGCCTCACGTAAAGACAATAAACTTCATTGATTGATTGATTGATTATGCTACTATGCTTGTTCGGCCTACCGTTCGACCGGGATTGCGTTTCCTCTCTTCAGCCTCGTCTTACACTCTGTCAATGAAGTCCTTCATAGTTTGGAACCACTTGGGAGACATATGCTTCAGATACTTATGGTAGTGGTGTTCTACGGCAAGGGTGGCAAAGATGTTATTGTTTACCAACGCCTGTCGAATATCGGTCAGATCTCCGGGTGACAAGTTAACGTGACGGAAGTACAAATGCTGCGTGACCAAAAAGTCCAGCAGAGCATCACCGAGGAACTCGAGTCTTTGATAACTTGGCGTCGCGCGGTTTTCGTGGTAAGACGCGTGAGTTAGCGCTTCTACCAAATACAACTTTTGTTGAAATTTGTACAAGATTGAATTGCTCTCAAAGTTTTCCAGACCTGATGTGAGGCGGAAAACCACGTCTCCTTTACCCTGCGTTGCTGTTACATTTGTCTGATCCGGCCAAAATCTGGCATAGCAACCCGATTTGCTATTCTTTGCCAGCGATTCAATACCGTCGTTGGGGTCAACCTCAGGTAAAATTTTTAGCCCTAGAAACTTCATGAATCGCAATGCACCAAGATAACCATCGGATATTAGATATGCTCCGATCAGTGCTTCGATGCTGTCTGCTATGGACTTATCCCCTATCATTTGCGTGATGCATTTCTGGGACGCATGCTCTGTAGCAGTAAGTTTTCTCTTCTTTCTCTTTTCTCTCTCTTCTGTGGTGCGATTCGGTGGTACGTCGCCAAACTGACATCCCGTAGGACACCAAACGTCGCGAGCCAACTGCGTGCTCTGGAGATACTCGCCCAAAGATTTCTTAGTGGCTGCTCGGTACAACGCTAAATTACTAATCTGGTTTGTCTTACGCCGGGTCAGCTTACCTTCGTCTTTATCGCTGTATGTGCAGAAGAGATGAAGGGACACGGCCAGCTTCAGAAATGAGTCTCCCAACATCTCTAGCCTCTCCAAATTAAACGCATCTCCGCTATGGGTGGTGGTAACTGCTTGAAGAACGAGAGAGGAGTTGGGGTGGTTTACAGATGATGGAATGTAACGGAACATCGATCTGATGTCGGAGAAAAGCCCCGGGAATTCAGACTCTGCATCATCACTGTCTTCAAGATCCAAACCATCGTCTTCAACTTCTCCTGCTTGATTGGGTCGGTGAGAGCCCTCTTCAGCACCAATAGGAGGGAGACTTGATTCATCTGTTGTGTCGCCTTCACCGGCAACCATGGTCTTGAGATCGGCAACGAGAAGGAGGGAGGTTACACGCTGAAGAACTGATGGCAGAATCTGTGACACGCTAAGAAGAGAAGCGCGAATGGGAATCTGGTTACACAATTCTGGAACAAGATAAATCACTTGGCGCTTGTGTTTTGTTCCTACTTTTCGGTCCACCAGGAAATTCACTCTACCGGATAACTCTTTCGCTTCAACAAGAGGTTGATTTTTGTCAGCAATGCGTCCCATTTCTCCGTATTTACGGCGAAAATATTCTTCATAAGTGTTTCCCTGTGACTTTTCCGGGAAGGGAGACAGGGGGGTCAGGTCGCCACGAACCTTCAAAACAGCGTACTTTTGTGAACATTGAACGTAGTTTTTGGTCACTACTGCGTCTTCGACGATAGGCTCATTTCCACGGCTTTGTTTGCGTGCGCGCGAAAGTTCCTCTCTCATGCGATCAAAGTCAACACTCCTTCCAGAATCCTTTACCATAACAATGAAGTAACCATCCATACTTTCTGGTGTGAATTCCACAGGAGAGCGCAGAACGTGACTGAAGAGAAAGAGATGAAACTCACGGAGAATGTCCAGGTCTTGTTTGGTGTTGTTCCTACGCAAAGGAGATGTGTGACACTGCAAGGATACTGTGACCTCGCCATAGTTAGGATACAGTTTGAACGATCGCATCTGAGGAGTGAAAAAATTTGGGTTTGAGTTAATTTGCACTCTTAACAGAAATCCAACGCACAGTTCAGTGTACGCTCTTTTTGGCCAACAAGATATCAACCTCTGCCAGTTTAAACAGCGTGATTCCAGATAGTATATTTAGTAAAAATGGTATATGCTGCTGTAAAATCAGAACTGAGGGCATCTGTAATATCACTTGAATGATAACATACGGAATTCGGTGACCTATTAAAAATCAAAGGATTCACAATAATCATAAACTAACCCTAGGAACTCTTTTATTTGTCAGCATTCCAAACGTGCAAGTGTCGTTGAGGAACAGTCGCTCACTTATAACAAACTCTTGTGGTTGAATAAGTTTTGTGACTTGTATGGTGATGGTCGTGAGGAACTGGGACTGACCATCCTGTACCAGGCTACCGACGAATACTTCAGGAACCTGGGCAAGAACAAAACCTCAGGTAAAGAAAGTGAGAAATACTTGTCAAGAGCGTGGCGCGAAAGAGAAACCTGGTTTCAACGTAACAATTCATCCACCAAGCTGAGGCAGTTTCGATTTTGGATCCTCAACCAACAGCGCCACCGAGAAAACTCGACAGGAAGCCAGACTGTAAACCAAGTCCCTCTAACACGAACCTCGTAAACATGGCCTAGCTCAACTTTGAGTACCCAGTAGCTCAGTGGCAGAGCGCGAAATCCGAAGGTCTGAAGCTCCTTTCCTCAAAGGTACTAAGAAGTTTTTCTTTGTACCACGCTCGTGACAAAGCGACGAAACATTTTTCTCCTCTGACTTCTTTGGGTGACTCTGGATTGCAGTATTATGTAATTTTTGACTAAGTGGAAGGGCCGGAAAAATATTTGGCACAAGGTCATGAAGCTGCATGTAGTACAAACTTAACGGCGGGGTCCGTGCGTCAAGGCTGAGAGCCAAATATTTTCCCCTCTAGCTAGCTTGCAAGCCAAATGTATCTATAAACACTCAGTCAAAATAGTTTTATGATTTAGAATAAGGTAGAAGCCATAATTTTGCTATGCAACGGCTTACCTTTCTCGTGTACTGACGTTTTCTCTTCTTTGATCCAGGTTTAGATTCATTTCCGCCAGGCTCAGCTGCTGCTGCTTCTTCTTCTTCTTCTAACTCACTTTCATCGTCAGACAATGAGCGTTTTGGCCGCAAGTTATCATCGAGCTCGCCATTTCTGTGAAGCACTATACAAGCTTCGTAAGCAGCAGCCATCTTGGCATACTTCTTACTCCGCATTGGTTCACCCTGTTGAAGTCCAGAAGATACACTATTCGTTTTGGAAGATTTAAATAACACACCAGTCAAGAGCTGAAAGAGGGCAAGAAAGGAGACAAGAAAGGGGGCAAGAAAAGGGGAAACGTCCAGAAAAGGGGAACATCCAGACAGTATTACTAGGCAAGCCCTAAAATGAAATCCCCACCGAAAATGGACAAGAGGATGCCTATAAAAACACCTATTCAGACCGAGATGAAGAATTGGGGCTACACTTGGACCACACTTTAAGGGCCAGCCCACGACAGGACAAGGTTGAAAGAGGAAATAGTCAATGGCTTATGGTCCAGGAGAAGCAACGGGCCTAAGAAAGTCAGTAAGTATTGAATCTAAGGCCTCCTGTTCACAGGCAAGATGATGAAGAAATGAGGAAAGGAGAAGTCCAACAAGACTTTCTGACTCCCTATTATGTCTTAAATTTTTCTTCTCTTCAGCCTTTTCTTTTTCTAATCAGCATAACACAGGGAATAATTAAACATTTCTTGCCAGGTATTGAATCTGAGGCCTCCTGTGCCCTGGCAGGGCAATGAAGGAAAGAAGGCAAAAGAAAACTCAGACTTCTGACTCACTATTATGTCTTCACGCAGTTGACAGTTCATTGGCAGTGTTAGTTTTCACCTGTAACTATCTTTCCCAATTTCCTCAATCTTGTAAACAGGTGTAGGCTGAGTAAACCGGTCTCCCGGAAGCTTTGAACAATACCTGGAGGGTAGCAATGAAAACAGTGAAGTTAACAAATTTTCATAAGAACACGTAATTTATGTGCAAAACTTGTTTAAGGCAAGCCTTCTCTCCAGTAGGGAGGAAACTCTTCAATAAATATGTAGGTTTCTAGAAAATACAAAAGTTGTCGCCTTATAAGGTTTTAAAATCAGTTACACATTTTCTTCACTCACTTGGAAAGTATGGAAATACTGTTACTCATTGTCACACAAGCACCTCCTCCATCTTCTGGTACATAGGGCTGGAATGCATCTGTGTCTAATGATTCAATACACTCCCTCATAGATGGCTGTGTGCGGTCATGGCATCTTTTAAACAAGATCTTCTCAATTTCACGCAGAATCTACAGGAAATTATTCTTAATTATTTAGTTCAACATAGGGAAAATTCAGTCTGCTTTACCAAATAACTTACTCATCTGGTTTTCTGAGAAAAAAAAATTACATATGAGTAATTTGAGGCACCAAGAAATATTTACATTTCATACTCCACTTGCCGGTGAAAGTTTACTGGAAATGCTGAGGGGGGATTCCGAAAACCAATTGACAGTTTTCAAGGAAATGATAAATCTGAGTGAAATTTCTCTCCTTAAAGGGTATGGATATTTGTCAAGAGAAACACCTATGGATGGCTATTCCTTGATAGGTTACACACTAAAACTTTCATGCACTTCAGCTGTTAAAATGTAGCTGGCCTTTACCCAATACTCCTAGTGGGTAGAAACTTTTTCATGATTAAAATTCATGTTTACAAAGAAAGAAATCAAATTCAATAAATGTCAAAATTCAAAATTATTGAATAGAGGCACTGTCTCATTAACTTTTTAAGTAAAAGAAAAAAAATAAAAAAGAGAAGGACATTCATTAAAGTTTCTTGTACCTCTAAGTCATTTTCTTTCTCCCCTTTCAGTTCTTGGGGTACAAGCATGTAATAATTTGAATCTCTGGCACGAGCTCTCCCTTTTGACTGAACATAAGATCTGAAGTTCTTTGGGAAGTCAAAGCAACATACAACATTACACTTTGGAACATCTAAGCCCTCCTCAACAACAGAAGTGGCAATCAGTACGTTGAACTCATGTCTTCTAAACTTCCGAAGCACTTCTTCCTGTTTCTTGAAGTTCATCTCAGTCTCACTCGAGAAGTTAACCTTTCCACCTGTGCCATGACCAGTCACAAAATTACTTTTGACAAATGATAGGTCATGGTTCAGTTTGGCAGCCTGGTTAATTTGTTCACTGAGGATGAGTGCTGTGTATCGCTTTTCGACAAACACAATGGCGCAGAGCCTCTTCTCTGGATCAGATTCTACAATAGGAATAAAAAAATTAAGCATCAGCAAGCTTTTTCATGGAAGGGGGGAAGAGGGGTACACTTTTGATTATGTTTTGTTGTAGTCACTTACATGTGCACAAAAATAACTTCATATCTAGTGAATAAATTGTCTGGT